AGACTTTCAATTTTACAAAGGGGTGAGCGAAACATTAAATTTGTTTTAGAATTGTGCTTTACAAAGTCAAACTGTAACTTGTAGTAATTAAACGTGAGTTTCCAGTGCGCTAAACTTGTCGCGTTGTAGTCGGTAATGATGTCGGCCACATTTTTAAGCTGAACTTTATAATGTCGTGATCAATGAGCCCGCCATATGCAACAGTGCTTAATCAAAACTTCAATTAAATTTTCGTAATACCTTTCGTCGGGCGCCCTCGCCCGGGAGAGCACACAAATTAATACCTACGTCCCGGAATATGTTTTAATTTCGATATATCATGATAGTAGCTGATGAGTTTCGCTTAAATTAAAACATACTGTTTGAGGCTTCATTGTGGACAGTTACGTCGGTTCAACACATTCTATTTACTCTGTGAAAATAAAACAAAGTTTAAACTACATTCAGCTGTAAATTAAGACTAGTCAAGAGAAATAAAGGAGGTGCAGTTCTCAATTAAAACACAATTCAGCGGGGCGGACTTTAGTTTATTTTTTCATTCGTATAAATGATCTCGGTGGCAAAGTTTGTTAATACTAATAAACGGCTCTGCGAAGGCGCCAACTCTTCGCGTTTCGCACCATTTGTCTCGGGAGGTAACGAGTACCGACTAATGGGGTCCCGGCCGAACCTAAGTAATTTAGAAAAACGATTCTTAAGATAGACGACTTCCCGTTTTATTTACTCGTGAAAATGTGGGAAACAAGCGGGAAGGGTATCTCAGTGGTTTTATTGTGACTGATGGATGTACACTGATCAAAGATTGCTTTTACTATACATTATATTATGAATATGAATACAATTCTTATTTTATAAGTCAGTGCGCGATACGGTTTTATTACATTCATGTTTTGTTGTTTCGGATGAATGACATTTCAAGTTATTGGAACAGTGAGAACACTTTTACGGCTTATCAAATATTGATGACAGATGTGGTCTCTGTAACTCAGTTTGAGTATATTTTAATGTATTTTATTTGAAATATATTCAATAACTTGAGTTTTACAATTTTTAAGTACAAGATACCTAAAGATATCAATTATAATATCAATGATTTTGTTAAAACACGTCAAAATCTTTGCAATATCATGTAAAATGCTTACCTACCAGCACTCGATCTTACCTTAACCTCAGAATAGCATGTTAAACATGTAGAGACCGGGTTTAGCTCAGAGAATGCTATTTAGCTCCAAAATATATGTTCTGAGAGCCGAGAGCTCGAGAACGTAACTTGTTCTTGGAAACTAGGGGATTATATCACGTGGACGACTACTATGTTTATATCTAAGGAGGTTCTTATAAGGAGATCATTAATGTTATTGATGTCACAATATTTTTGTAATGGAATTGTGGCTTAAGCAATCCTAGGTATATTTTTAGTTCTGTCTTCTAATGAGTTTTTGTAAATAGGCACTTAAGCTTGCCTGATTTTCGGTAGTTATAATATGCCTTTACACGAAATTTCTGTTTTATACGGAAAAAATGTAACAATGTTATTTCATGTATTTTTTATTTATATTAATCACCCATGAAATCAATGCATCTGTGCCAACGAAGTGGAAGTTTATTGATAGATGCCTTTCTTAAAGAAATCAGCTGGACGAGAAGCATTTCTTAATCTTCGAAAGCATTTTGTACGCTCAGGTATTGAATTATTTTCCCGCTAAGAAGTTATCCAAATATAGTCTGTAGGCTTTCCGTAAACGGAAAGCTTCCAACCCCAGTTCTTGCAACTTGGAGACCGTCTTCTGTGCAGTATGAGATCACGCGTTCTCGTGAAGAAGCAGTGGAGACAAGAGATTGACAAATGCGGGTTAGAGATGTTCCAGCTTCTCTATCACATTGTACATTAAAACAATAATTTCGTACTTACTAATACATTGATTTCAAATAAAATATTGTACACCACAATATTCGTAACTCTTAAAAAATATGACCTATTGGCCAGTGACGACGTGTTAATGTGGCCGTCGACTTTCAAACTACCAGAGGTAATTCGTGTGCAGCCATAGATGTTGGTGATTATGCCAAAACCTCCTGCGACCGTTCCTAGGACTATGACGCGAGGTCACGTCCAACAGTGGACGTTTACGAGCTGTTGAGATTGATTGATTGATCCGAACTTGCGAACGTGCACCGACTAGAATGTATCCAGGAATTTTTGCCTTTCTGGAAACTGAACGTATGCCTCATGGTGTCAGTGTGTCGAGAGTCGAATTTGATGTAGACTGGCCATGTATCAGTTGAAGGGATTTAAAAATTCCCAGTTCCGCTAACTATCTTTGTGAGAAACAGGTGTGATGACGTTATGCGCAATACCTACCCCATTCTAAAATTAACAGTTCGTTAGGTAATAGAATTTCAACATTATTAATGTGCAATAGAAGATAAAAGTTTATTATAACAGTAAAAGGATAGCTAGCATAGCATAGCATAGCTGTCGTGCATGCTGCTCATAATAATTTTGAGTAAAAAAATTGCTTCTATACATATTTCTAAAAAAAGTCTTTACTGTTTGATATATTCGACTCTCAGGACTACGATGGCATACGTAACTCAATTTGACCAAAGTGTGGGTTTGGTCCGTTCTGCTTACCTACGTTCAATTATAAGGCCCAGACGCGTCTTGAAACAAGTTGAGTATAACCTCTTCAAGTCGTCGCATGAGTGAGACATATACGCTAATTAATTTAATGTTAAAGAATGATTAAAATTTATTCCTAACAGTCATAAAGTAATATTTTAAGGTTTCATATTGAGTAACATATATTATCTATGTACCTATAATCCAAATAAACTTCTTACTACAGAATAACCTCGCCCGTATATATTATATAAAAAATAAAGTCTTGTTCCTCGTTAACTTTATAATTTTAATAAGCTTTTGTGTAAAACCTTTATAATGTACTTCGGTCTTTATTTTATTTTTCCCTGAAACAAACTTCAGTTTACTGTTTCATGTTAACCTGAATATTATACTTTGTTTAATTTTCTCTGAAGTCCAACTTAATTTATGCTGAAATCTTATAAACTACATGTATTATATTTCGTTTTATATAATTATGACATAATAATGTTTATTTCATAACATTATGCTAAGTTAGGCATCTTTTTTTGAGGAGGAAATCATCCAATGACTTCTCCCGCCTTGGGTAACTGACTAAAAACATTCCCGTTTCTACTCATGCTCTCCGAGTCAAAACCAGGGCTTACCTAATTGGTTGCCGGGGAACACCGTTTTTAAAAAAATCTTAGAAGTAGCACGAAGTCTGGAAATGTGCCCGATATATGGCAATAGACTCACCCCCTATTACATGGGACACATAACATAAATAGTGAAAAGTGGGTGTTACATTGTACAGTGGCATTATGTTATGTTATCTACGAACTAGTTATAAAATAAAGTAGTCGTTCGAGTAAACAAATGCACGGTACAAATAAAAACACCAATAAAAACAGTTTAAACGTTAATTAAGACAAATAACAGACATACAAGCATTTTACAAAGAAATCTCGGCTTTATTTGTCGATGGCAAACACCATTGTAGTGAAGTATTTACTTAGGACGGTTCGATGCGAACCAATAGACAGCCAGATTAACCACTTAACTATCGTGTTCCAAGCCACTGGGCATGTATCATGTTCCCGATTTACTTGTAGCCACGTTATTTTGACGTTTTTATTTGACTTCCCCATTTTGTTGTTAGAATTATTGCTACTTGAAATGAATTGTAAACTTTTATTTGTAGTGTGTTAAACAATAATTACCATATTTCCATCTTTAGGCTTGTCGTACGTGTCGTAATAGTCGAAAGGGGGCTTCACATTTGACAGAGACTGGGTACCAGAACTATTTGGAAAATATTTTTTTTTATTACGATCCAACTCACCTGATAATCGTGAAGATTTTGGCAAATCATCCTACATACATAAGGGAAACGCATAGACCATAACTGGGCAGTCAATATTATTTTTTAAATAAAAGAATATTTTTTTTTTAAATTGATGAAGTACAATTATAGGTATATAATTAATTGAATTAATTAAAAAATAGAATAATGAAAAAGATGGTGGTCTATGCAGTAGCATGCATACAGTATAACACCCATCGGAGATAACAAGTTAAGTTAAAAAAATCACATCAAAATCCGTCCATCAGTTTAGTAGCAAAAGAACAAATAAACTTAGTTTTATAATTGCTTAGTAAAAGATCGAGTTTAATAAACCGCGCTTCGGCCTTTGAAACGTGAGACATCTTAACAAAGATCATTAATAGTCGTTAACTTGGTACTGTCTTGTAAAGGATGGCATCGATTTTGTACCGTGAACTGAGTTTGATTTCCAGGTACCGCAAAAATAAGAAAAACATTTCTAGTGATGGTGATTTTCGAAATCTTTACTGACACTTCATATTTAATGTTTTAGTTTTGGCACTGAAGCTACAAATCCTACGTAAAATGTAGATACTGTAAATATACGTCTATTTTTTATGTCATGAGCCGGTAAACGAGCAGACGGATCACCTGATGGTAAGCAATGTGCGTCGCCCATCGACACCTGGAACACCAGAGGCGTTACAAGTGTGTTACTAGCCTTTTGGGATTAGGAATTTGAGGATAGTTAGGGCCTCAGTGATTGGGAAAGGGGGGAGGGATAATTGGGCGAATGGGCGTCCCTATAGTCTAAGTACAAGGAGAGCAAGGAAAGTTATGCCATGTTACGTAATTAATAAGATATTATTTAATTTCTACCCAAAAGGAATTTATCGTCAAAAATATGTTCTTGTTTCCTCAATTAGATACATTTTTATAATATCTTCGTACATAACTGAATCTAATAGGTACCCACTTGTTATTGGTATGAATCTATGTATATTCATCTTGTGATCTCACAATACAATAACATACTATACCTAGGTCTTAGTCTAAATAATTTCTAAGAAAAACTTTACTTTGTTTCAGACTCCAGCTTATCCTGAATCCAACACCGTTTTACCAATCCAATTAGGTAAGTAATTTATGTACCTACACTATAAAGGACTAAATTATTTTTCTACCTAGTCCATTATAAAATGCTATTTGAGCGAAGACAAAATTAACCAATGAGATATCACAAAATCTCCGTTAGCAAATCCCAAAAATAGCATGAATGAGGCATTTTAACAATCCCAACAACAATATTTCCCCGCCTATAAAGTCGTGTTGACAGTACAAGTCAGTCGTTGCCGATCGCGCTTCGCAATTGTTTATATATGGTGTCAGACAGCCGGCGAGCTGGCTTAAGCCGTCTGTGGCGACATCACAATGAGATAAGCCCGGGCGAAGCGCGACAACATTATTGTACGGGGGATTATACGTAGTGAAGGTGATACACAATACTTATAACACACTAACTTCTAACAAGGATTTGCTAGTGTTATTCTATTCTATGGCTGTAAAGCTGTTTGGTTTGCGGATTTGTATGTTATGCTGTGTAGTTTGATGTGATTTTCAACTCAGGTTTCTCATATTGTTAAACGAATCTGATGTATTTTCATCTGGGGATATTTTTGACAGAGAACTTGTTATCTATGCAATGGAAAAATTTTAATAAATAGTCTAATCAATATATTATATAAAAATGAAACCCGTTTTCGTTGTCACGCCATAACTTGAGAACGGCTAGACTGATTTAGCTGATTGTTTTTTGTTGTATTTATTATTGTCAGGAGAAGGTTCTTATAACAGAAAAGGTCCTGAAAATCCTAAGGGAACGGGACAAAACGGAATTGCGCGTATGAAGTCGAGAGCAGAAGCTGGTACTTTCATAATATCTTAAATCGTGTTAAATAGCTCCTGACCCGACATTTAACTTGCAGCTCAAACCAGATTACCATCAGTTGCAATCATTAATAATTCAACCACAAAGTCCGAACTAAATATCAATTGCATTGAGAGTAAGATGGCCGAGCCATTACAATATTTAGCTTGAAGTCTGTCAGAAATCTGAACGCTCGGTATCCCGTAGATACATTTCAGTTCGGTTGAGAAGATATCAATTATTTGGAAGTCGATTCTCGACCGGCCGTGGCACGGTACTATCGAATTGCAGGAAGTCAGATTGCTTTGAATTCGTAAGATACAAATATACACCACAAACAGCTGCTGAGATAATAAAGTTAGTGAGTCGTGGAAAATTGATGTTCGGAGTCGATGAGATTGTTGTAGGTACACTGATTGGTATTGAATGATTATTCGTTTCCGTGAAAGGATTTAAAATATTAACAAATGTGTCAAACAGATTTATGTTGTTCGTATCCTAGTTTACATGCTCGAAACAGATGTTATATGAGAGAGACTAAATAATTCTAATAATTGCTCCATCATCATCATCATTAACAGCCTATAAATGCCCACTGCTGAGCAAAGCCTCTTCTCACACTTTTGAGCATTAATCACCATGCTTGCTCAATGCGGGTTGGCGATTTCAAACTTATAATAAAAAAATATGAGCCCACGTTTCCTCACGATGTTTTGCTTCACCGTTTGTCTAAATAATCTTAGGAAGTACATTTAACTCAGAAAAGTCACATAGGTACTTGCCGTTGATAGGTTTCGTACCCGCGCCCTCATGTATGATAAAGATAAAGATATATTTATTTGTATAAACATGTGTGGGTAACATTATACATATCAATGCAAATGCAGATGATAAAATAAACACTGTAACGTCTCAACATGTTTTGCCACAATTGGCGTACAAAATAATTATAAAATGTATAAATCTATTAAAGAGACAACTAAAGTTAAAACATATGAAACAATAAACTTATAAATTATCATTTAAAAAATCCTTAATATGGTAATAATGATAAGTCTGTGGACCATGGACAAGATCTCACTTCATTTTAATTTTTTAGCTTTTTTTTTTCTTTTTATTTTTTAAATAATTATGTTATGTGTGTTTTGCTTAATAAGTAATTTTTTTAGTTCATTTTTGAACAATTTATTATTATTTATATTTTTCAAATTATGCGGAATTTTATTATATATTAAAGGTGCCATACAAAACACACTTTTACGGAGAAGTGCTGTTTTCGCAGCATGCGTTCGCAGCATGAGAAGCAAGAACCTCCGGGCCACCACGACTACTTGCCTACTTACTTCATTCTACCTAGATCCTTCATCAACATTTCACATGCACTGCAAGCATTAAAATTACTTCCTAATATAACAAAATAGTAACAGTTAATACAATTTTGATTGTACAATCAAACTACAATTCCGCATCAACATCAAATTACTTCATAAATTTCTCGCTGGAGCTCACTACAGAGCTCTTATTCCATTAGACATGGAGCGAACAATTACCAAATACACCAGGAGTTATTAATTCCCCTAATTACCCCACTTTTACAGTGGGGGGGAAACGAGAATATTACGGAGTATGTAATTCCAGCTCAATTAGTGGGGGTTTTGGTTCTAAACTAGCGTTTATGAGAGAGCTGAGTCTAGCAGTTTGTTACTCTGATATTTAACGGGAATGTTTGTTATGTGCTCGCGGAGTATGGGTGTTACATTATTACCAGCACTTATGCATAATATTTTTGAGGGAAACGAAAATTGCATTTGGTTACTGGATTGACATAACATAACGTCACGCCTTTTATCCCCGAAGGGGTGCAGAGGTGCACATTATGCCACTGTACAATGTAACACCCACTTTTCACTGTTTAAGTTATGAGTCTCATGTAATAGGGGGTGAGCATAGCAATATATCGGACACAATTCCAGACTCCGTGCTGCTACTTGAAAACATGGTAATACTATGCGTGACCCGGGAATCGAACCCGAAATCCCTTGCCCGGCAGTCGCACTAGCGACCACTCGGCCAACGAGGCAGTTACTGGATTGACCTACTTCAAATTTAACTTCAATCAATTTGTTCAGTTTGCAACAATTTAATTACCTTTTTGCACACAGAAACAATGTTTAGGACGTTCGTTTCCATCATATAAAGCAAGCAACCACCGACCAGCTAAGCACATAACGACAACAGGATACTTAAGCGTGCCGCGACTGTACATAAACCATGAGTACAAAGTTAGCTTCGGTCAAACTTACGCAAGGATGCACAGGACGACACTAAAACCCACTTTACCTCGTGTAAGTTTGCCGCTAAAACAGCTTAACCGCCACCGGGCAAGCATTTATTATTTTAGCTTTATATTAAAGCAAATGGCTGCTTAACTCCCTAGATATTCTGAATGTAATCTTTGTTAACTGCCTCGTTGTCTGAGTGGTCGCAAGTGCGACTGTTGGGCAAGGAGTCTCGGGTTCGATATTCGGGTCGGGAAAAGTATTACTAAGTCTTTTAAAAAAAAACTCAGTGGTAGCACGGAGCCTGGAATTGTGCCCGGTAGTTGGTAATAGGCTCACCCCCTAATTACATGGGAGTCATAAGATGAATAGTGAAAAGTCGGTGTTACATTGTCGCTTTAAGTGCCGTAATTTGCATCTCTGCCTACCTCTTCGAAAGTAAACGGCGTGATGTTATGTACCCTTTGTTTAAAATGGGAGCATATTTTATTGGTAATCATTTGATCAGATGTAGAAGTGTGTAAGTGGAATATCGTCATCAGAAATAAAAGGACTACCATTCAAGAAAATCACACAATTGAAATGTTTAGTTTTGCAATTGATTCTGTAAAACAAAAGAATAATCAATTTCGTTATCTAGATATACAAAAACTTATGAACTTTGGTTATTTATTTAAACTGTCAAACACCAAGCGGTAACCGGTGACCGCAACCTATTGTTCTATAATTGTGTCTATGATGACGGTACTCGACGAGTTAATGGCAGCAACAAAAAATATTAGGTACATAAGTACAGAAACTCTTTCAAAAAATATTTCAGAAAAATGTTTATAAAAAGTCCCCTTTGAGCTACTAACATCGTCAATCGAAATTTTACTCAATTCCGCGCTACAAATAAACCGCACGGAGTTTAATTGGCGTAAAAATAACGATGTAATTCAAATTTACACGTTCATGAAAATAATAACAAGTCAGTGCAGTTTCAATAGTAACTTGCTATAGTTATATTCTTTGACAGAATACACAGAACCTAACGGGTAACCCGGGCTCCGGCTCGACGTGCAGAAGAAGGAACGGGGTGGTTTTTAGTCAGTAAGAGTCTGACACTCCCTCCCGCCTCACCCAGGCGGAAGCAGTCATTCGATGATTTTCCCCCTTTAAAAAAAAAATAGGGTCGTTGGCTAGTTTTTATGACGCCCCGCTTATTATTCCTGCATCTGTAGCCAAATGCCATTTAGCGCTTGTCTACGTGTAGAATAGAAAACCAAATTATATGGAATTGACGTAAATTTTGACAGGTGTCAGTGTCATCCCCATACATTTTGTTTTCTACTCTCTCTGTAGACAAACGCTAAAGTGGCGTTTGGCTAAAGGCACTGAAGAGAGAAACAGTGCACAAAGAATATAGGAGAGTATGAAAGAGAGCGTGACTAACAAAGACGAGTGTGACTGCCTTATTGGCCGAGTAGTCGCAAGTACGAATGCCGAGCAAGGGGTCTCGGGCTCGATTCTCAATGTCGTGCATAGTATGCATTACTATGTTTTTAAGTAGCAGCACGGAGCCTGAAAATGTGCTCGGTGTATAGCAATAGGCTCACCCCCTATTACATGGGACTCATAACATAAATAGTGAAAAGTGGTTGTTACATACTACAGTGGCATTAAGTGCCGTAATGTGTACCTCTGCCTACCCCTTCGGGAATAAAAGGCGTGATGTTATGTGTCTGCAAGAGAATGCATTACGTATTTTACTTTAAGTAGGTACTTGCTGTGTTATTTATTTACTCAACACGAAACCATTAATTAAATTTAAACTAGAGTTTCCTAAAAAATATTGAGCAATACATTATTTAAAATTTTCTAAGTAAAGGAGATATTAAAGTATCTAAATCACTTTCCCCTTTACTTTAGTGACTACTCGATAAAGAT